CATGTTGGTCAGGCTGGTCTTGAACTCCCAACCTCAGGTGATCCGCCCGCCTTGGCCTCCAAAGTGCTTGGATTACAGGTGTGAGCCACCGTGCCCGGCCTGTTTTGTTTTTCTCTTTATTTCCAGGTCCCTTGGCATTTTGGTGGTTTTGCCTTTTAAATAGAGATGAGTTCTATGTTGCCCAGGCTGATTTCTAACTCCTAAGCTCAAGTGAGGCACCCACCTCAGCCTCTAAAAGTGCTGAGATCACAGGCATAAGCCACCTCGTACAGCTTCAATAAAGTTTTATTTAGGTGTTAGCAGTAAGCCAGTTTTTTGTTTGTTTGTTTGTTTGTTTTCCCGAGCTACAGTTTTATTCTTGTTACCCAAGCTGGAGTACAGTGGCACAATCTCAGCTCACTGCAACCCCACCACTTGGGTTCAAGCGATTCTCCTGTGTCAGTCTCTCAAGTAGCGGGGATTACAGGTGCCTGCAACCACACCTGGCTAATAATTTATATTTTTAGTTGAGACAGAGGTTTCACCACTTTGGCCAGGCTGGTCTCGAACTCCTGACATCAGGTGATCCACCTACCACGGCCTCCCAAAATGCTGGGTTTACAGGTGTGAGCCACTGTGCCCGGCCAACGTAAGCTGAATCTTAAAGAATAGGTGAAATTCAGACATGAGTCAGAAAGAATAGTTTGGCCAAAAGGAGCAATTGGGGAAAGACATGTAAGTCAAACAACCCAGGTAGTATGGGGGGAAGAGTGATACTCCACTTTGGCTGATGCCTAAAGGAAACCAGACTTTACTGAGTATTGGGGAGCAGAGAGGAGAGAGAGAGAGAGAGAGAAATTGTTTTCCTTTTTTAGCAAAGGCCGCAGAGGAGTTACTTGATTAGAACTGTGCCTTAATCATGGAGAAAATATTGGAAAGAGTAGTCTGAACCTTCCTACCCTTAAGTATGGGCAGAGAGTATCAGCATCACCTGCAAGCTTGTTAGAAATACAGAACTGCAGACATCATTCACCCTAGGCCTTCAGAATGAGAATCTACATTTTAACAAGTTCCTCAGGTGATTCCTGTACAAATTAAAGGTTAATCAGCTCTGGATTAGAAGACTGGCGGAGAAACCAGAGGCAGAGAAACCTGGAGACTACTTACACTGATTCAGTTAAAAGATTTAAAGTATAAGAATACAGAAGATAAGCTTTGCACAGTGGCAGGATTGTAGCCAATGAGGTTTATCCAAGGCGCGATTATTGCTAATTGAAGACTTTT